AGAGATTATGGAAGTGGCTGTGCAAATAGATCAGGAAGAACACCATTGCCCTTCCGTGATCAAGTCCTATGGGGGGGGGGAGAAGTTTAGCCCTCCAGCTGTTTGGGACTACAGCTTCCACAGTCCCTCATCATTGACCATGCTGGCTAGGAGTTCTGGAAATTTAAGTTCAAAACATCTGCACAACCAAAAATCTTCCCCTCCCGCCCCCAGTCCATTCCTGTGTTTCCAGCAATGGCCAGGTAGATGAGCTGAGGAAGCTCATGAAAGCAACTGCCTTTCCTTGTGGTCTTCAGCAACGGACGTTCAGATAGTCTTCTTCAGAACCCAGAGGCTCTGTTTTGTATTGGTTAATATAGACTAGAGACAAACTAGAGGTAGGAAAGCTGGGTGAAGATGTCCTGATATTCACATCCGAAGTGGAAACTGGGATGAAAAGGAGATTGTGGATGTTGGGAGTCTACTGTTGAATATACAGATGTTGGATACTGTTACATGCGCACTGTATCTGGACATCCATTGAATTGGAGAGGGAAGATAACAACAACAAGGACAGTGGCATAGAACATCATTGGAGCAGACTTGTAATTTTAAATTCTAGAATTAAGTGTGTTAGCAAACTTACAAAGAGAGAGAGAGAGAGCTAGAAGTATACTATGCTTTGCTTTAATTATTTCAAACGTTGGTGTGCAATCCCTCATCTTTTTGGGACTCCTTATGCTCATTCCCCTGACTGGAACCTTGGATTTCTGCTCCTAAATTCTGTCCAGAAGCAGCAGAACATACGGTATTTAACTAATTGCAGCTACAGTCCAAAGCAAAAGTGACTCTTCTTTTAATAATTGGTCCTCATCTTCTCATATCTGAATTCACTTAATAAGAACAAAATAATTCCCAAAGATTTAAACACATATTTATTATAGCTGCATGATAGTGCATCCCTATTATTGTGCCACAGAGCAAATTAGTATTCTACACAGCAATTCAAAGAATGGGTGCAGGACAAACAAACAAAAATTATAGCTTTGAAACTGGACTTCAAATCAGCACCAAATTTGACACAGATGGAGTAGATGGTCTGCTCCTGCTCTTTCCCAGATTTGGGAAAATGTGGGCAAAAGGTATTCAAATTATGATTAAAAAAAAAAATAAAACTGTCCCCCCATTCAGAAACAACTAACCCTAAATGTCCCCAGATTTGGTTCATATAAATTGAAAATACCAGTTGAAAATAAATTGAAAATATCAATCTTGCTTAACATGGCCCCAGACACTTAAAAAAAAATTCAGAAAGAAAGGCTGTAGGGACTGAAATATTCATCCTCAAAAGAGGCCTTTCAAATGGGAAAAACAGTGACCTTGTTATAAACCGAGCATGCATAGTACAGGCTTGCCAGGCAGACCATACAATGTATCATGTGGGCAAGGGAGAATTACAGGTCAATAAAAGTTCACACCTATTATGGAAGGAGTCCAGAAAATGGGTTTGCTTTAAAGAAAGTAATGGAATGACAGTCCTCAGAAAGAGAGGTTGTTTGCCACATATCTCCAGGGAATTACAGTTCTGTAAGGCATATCCAAAATGTTTCTGCATTACAAAAGCACAGAGTGCTTGTGTTTGTCTCAGCCTCAAGTGTTTTCAGTAAAGATTCTGTCAGGATTTCTGAGACCTGGCACAAGTTAGGTCATAAATTTTCAAAGGGGAGATCAGCTCTATGTCTAGGGCAATCTGAACTTTTGAACCTGTCAATTAGGACCCAATGGAATTTTTTTAACTCCTTCCTTTAAATCCTTTCAAACAGGGATTTCTGCTTGCAAAGGTATTCTGTGGAAATTGGAAAAATATTTCAAAAGATATTTTAAAAAAGAACAGAGAACTAATATTCAGAAGCTCACCCATTATACCTGTGGAGTTACTGTTCTTTGTTTTTTATTTTGTTTTGCTTTGCGGCTGGGATGTTGTTACTCGACTTTAGTACAGCTTTGGTGTCTGTGCCCTGTCATAGTCTCAACCATTCCACTGTCTTCAGTATACAATTGTTTGGTAAATAAACACAGGAAACAAAATAATTTATTTTTAAAAAACTCCAAAGATGTAATGTGTCAATAAATCACTTCTGGTGCGCAATAGCTATATGAGTTGATGACTTCCAAGGGCAGTCTGAATGTTGACATCACCAATGGCTGCAGTCAGTATAGATTATGAGATACTCTTGCACCTCACTACCATTCAAACTTGTAAAAAACCCAGCCCTGACAATTGCTTTGCATCTATGTGAGAAGAGATTAACTGATGAAAAAAAAGGAGCCAGGTTCTGGGACTTTCCCTTGCTTGGTACCTCTTTGTGAATGGGTGTGAGCAGAAGAGGTTCTCCCATAGACCATCTTGACTGCTGTTATTGGTGGTCTCAGCATTCAGACTGTCCTTTGCTATGTAAAGTTTGACATCCTTTTTCCTGCTGGCATTATGGGCACCATGTTGAACAGCAATATGGAGCCATTTCCTGGCTTTTTGAATTGTGGGTGCAGAAGCACAGCATCCCACTTTCATACTCCAAAATTCTTTTTAAGCAGGGGTGGGCAATTAATTTCTATGGGTGGGGCACATGAAAAATCTGAACTGTGTTTGGGGGCCGAACCAACTTTACTTAAAAATAAAATGAAACAGTGATGTTATGATTGTTTTTATTTTAAACTTGTTAATCTTCACAAATAGTTATAAGTTTTTTTTGCGGTATGTCAAAATTAAGCAACTGATCAACTTTAGACAAAAAGTTATAAATGGTTTTGATGTTCAAAACTGTCTGCGGACTGGACAGGAGCGGCTTGCGGGCCGTATGTGGCCCTCGGGCCACACTTTGCCCAGGTCTGTTTTTCAGAATTGAATGTATTGGTATTGGTAGACCTCATTGCTTCATCTTTGTGAACCTGTTGTAAGTGTATCTTCCTTTTGATGAATTAAACTTTGAGGCAATGTTTTGCACATGTAACCTTAATGTATGATCACTTAGATGTAATTTTTATATTTTCTTCAGCTGCATGGTAACCTTCTCTTAACTACCCTTTCTTGCTGCGGTCGGTTTGGAAAATACTGGTTTGCATGTGAAATGGATTTTGTGAGAACAATACGGATATGTGATACTTCTGTGATTTGGGGGGAAAAAATTCTTACTGAGACAGCTATGTTAGCCAGTTTCAGCATGTAAAAGAAAATAATAAAACGAATGAATTTGTGGCAATTAAGGTGCTACAACTTTCTAGTTTCAATTTTAAACTTTGTGGTCCCTCCTTTTCCTCCTTTAAACGCCATCCTAATCATCAAAATTAACAAGGACGATATAAAGGCCAGCAAATTTTGTTTGGCATAATCCTTGACGGGCGCCTGCCCACAGCATTAGATCCAGATGTGGACTGTGTTCCCTGAAAACTTGTGCCAAGTAGACGTTTATAGCCTTTAAAATGCCCCCCCCCAAAGATTCTGTTCTGTTTTTCCTGCAACCCATTGCAGGCAAGCCCTCCCTCCTTTATGGAAAGAACAATACAATCTGCTTGATAACTCTTCCTGCTAGCCAAACAAGAGGAGGGAAACTGAAGGAAACAACCGGCCAAACAGAGCTTTTCAGCCTCCCTCCAGGGCTTAATTTGAGCCAGAATATTTGAGTTTAATAAACCTCAATCCACTTTCAGCGACCGGGAATAGCTCCAAAGTTGCTGAGAGACGCAATCCTCATTCTGAGGGAGTAACACAGCGTGTCCCTTGCCAGTTGACAAAGTAGTACCAGCCCACAGGTGGGTGGAGGCTTCCCCTCCCCATCTTAAATATACTTATTACTTTTAATGTATACAGACAGGTGCTCTGTGTTGTTGGTACGCATTACGCCTACGAATTACGGTAAACATACCCGTGCTCGGTTTTCTCCCCATTCCACACCGGGAAAAATTTCGGCGGACCCTCTTGGTGGGTCGCCGTGACTACCGTATAGACAGGCAGTGCCCTCTGAAAGGGCACCTCGGCCTTCCAGAATCCGCTCTCCTTTCCACTCACTGTGTAGGAATCCGAATTCGTGTCGGAGGACGCTTTGGTCTGGGAATCCGCGTCCGGACGCCAGTCCCCCTGCCCTTATTTCCTAAACCAAGAACCTGCATGTGTCTTGCGGACTAGCTCCTTGCGCCAAATTGTCTTGTTTTAATACCCAAGATCGGCGCAGGAGAAAACTACGGCAGAAAAGGCAGGGAAAACAGCCAAGCCAATGAAATGAAATAAAATTAAAATTTTAAAATAATAAGTTGAAATAAAACGAGTCATCTTTCTTTCCAACTCATCCGCCGGGCGACACCGCGCTTCCCCCATAGGAGTGGTATAAAAAGTTTTTGTAAGAACAATAATTAACTGGGCATGACAGCGAGGAACAGTTAATTGGTGCGGCAAATCGATTAATGCCTTGACTACAGATTTAAGAAGTTACATTTTTAATAGGATTGTAAACGGAGGCTTATCCAGAGGGAAGAAGGCAAAGTGGCAATGTCATCATACTCGGGAATCGGCTATCAAGATCTTCCGCTTGGCGAACAATTCCCTCGCACCGAATAAATGGATACAGAAGGTGCGACTCCTCCGAAGGTAAACGAACAGGTGCCTCAACACCTTGAGGAAATCCTTGGGTTCAAGACGATTTTGAAATCGTTCCACTGAGCTTCGTTCAAAAGAACCCGCTTTCCCATCTACTTTAGAGATCACCCAGGTAGGATGTAACTCAGCTTTGAGTGTGTATGAGACAGAGAGAACATAGCGAATATTTTTTAAAAATGAGAAAGTGTTTATTCTGGAGGGAAAGTAAACCAAAAGGTATGTCTTACTGATCCTCTAATCGTCCTCTTCATCCTATAGACCTCCTTGTTATTTCGTAGGTTTTCTTTAACTAGTCATAATTAATTTTAATTAATTTACCGCCCTAAATAGGACGAAACAAATTAAGCAATTAAGCGCCTCTAATCCGTTCATGGTCTTAAACAGCAACCGGAACGCCTCCTCTCGATCCTTAAAGCCCATTTACCTGAAAGCCATTCCCGTTGATTTTAAGGCAACTTTTGAAACGCTTTCGAGTAAATCTGCTTAGAATGAACGACGCCCGCTTCGCCCATTCGTTCCCTCCCCCCCCCCGCACGCCTCCAGAAACCTTAACCCGAGAGACTCCCAGGGAGAATTATCCAGCCGTCTTGCACCAAAGTCCTGCTCGCCACGGTTTTTCTCTGGGTTTTTAAATTTTATTTTAAGTATATTTTGGTGCGGAGGGGAGGCGTCTCCCGGCAGGTGTCCCGATCTTCTTTTTCTAACTTTCCCTCCTGCCTTCTCCCGGGTATTCGGTCACTTCTTCTTCTGTCCCGTCTTTTTTCTTCTTCTTCTTCTTTTGAACCGACGCTCGCCTCGCACTGGAGCGCATCGCTGGCCTCCCCTCGGAAGTGAAGCCCCGGACCACCTCAAGGGCCGCTCCTCAGACATCCCCTTGGCACAACAGAAGTGGGTCCCACGACCCCCGGCTCACCACGATCACCCCCTCTCCTCCCCCCCGCAAATAGTTAATTTCAGCCAGGCTGGTCAATTTCACCCGACGGAGGGCGGTCCCTTGAGCTCTGCGAAGGAGGAGGAGGAGGAGCTTGGGGGAAGACGCTGGAAGCGCGCGGGGGGGGGCTCCCGTTAACAGGGGTCCCTCCGGGCCCCCACGTCGCACACCGCCCCCGGGAAGGGCAGCCTCCGCCGGAGCGAAGGCAGCGGACGCCC